TCCCCCCCCCCCCTTCAGTATCCGTGCCATCCGTATATGTGTTTTATCCCAACCCGCCCGATGACGCAAGATATTACCCGAAAACATACATTGCCCGAAAACATGAGACATTGACCGAAAACATACGGCCCAAAGACAGGAGATATTGCCCGAAAACAAACGACCCAATGACATGAGACATTGGCCGAAATCATACGGCCCGATGACATGAGACATTGCCCATTGACGTAAAGCAAAGACATCTGTCTTTACCAATTTATATTTTTGTCCCATTCCACCCCTCATAGTTAAAATCTGTGAAAAGTCGTCTTGCATCGTATAAAACTTAATTACCATTGACAAATTTCAAACCGTTTTTTTCACATTTATTTGTACATGCATAAAACTGCTTGTGATTCAACATTTCCATACTCTCATCATCAATGGAAATTGTGAAAGTCAAAAGTTTGGCATTTACTAGAAAAGCACACAGTATATATACTCTTTCTAGTATTATATAAATCCATACCTACTAGACAGTTCTAAGCAGATTAAAGTCAAGTAACATCTTAATTATAACGAGTTGCCTATTACGCTACTGCAAATAGCGTGCCTACACATGTGTGTGCGAAGGGAGTTACTTAGAGTCACGTATACATTTTGTCCCAGATTATCACAAGGGGTATAGGGGAGAATTCGACAGACGGCAACGCATTCCAATCTCTTAGCATTTTGCCCAGTTCGGTAGGCCCATACCTGTTATGGGAGCTGCAATGAGGCGATCATTATGTTTTATGTAAACACATAAACCTTCTTTATGACAAACTCTTTTCACAAAGACATCTACCAGACGAAAATTACTTGATCCCGAGGGATTCCAATTCTCCTGAGTTATTTTTTTGTTTGCCGGAGCGAACGTGTTGATATCAAAGTTGTCGAAGACGTTATTCAATGTCGCAGAATCAATTTGAACCTTTCCAGCAAAGTTGATCCTTGGGAACATGATGTAGGAATGGTAGTCTAATGGAAGATAAAAGTTTTTCTTTCACGATTATGTTGAAAGTTTATAAATCGCTTAGGTGAAAGCTCTATGAAATGCATGTCAAATCCAAAATTGTTCGGGGGAGCGGGGAAGACAAAGAAGCCAACATATGTATGTGAACCGTGATACTTAAGTTTACACCTAGAAGCTAGTACATGTCCACAGATTTTTTCAGATGATTGTATATCTTATCAACGTGCAGTGACAAAATCGCAAATATTTGTAATACTCTTTGTGCGAATTTAACAGATCTTTTTCTTATAATGACGCCATATTCTGATGAACACTAAATAGAATTACAAACTTTTTCACGAGAGCTTGTACTGCAAATGCGTATGATATTACATAAAATTGATAGGCAAAAATTGTCCCGTGAGAAATTGCATTAGTGTTAATCTCTGTGTTTGACAATTATAACGGTATGCGTAAACTGCTACTACAATCTTGGCTAAAAACGTGTTGGACCACACACAGAGATTGGCTTCGGATGGCGTTCTTCAAAATGAAATCCCCCCACAAGTAAACGTTGAATGTAGATAATGCGGATAAGCAACATTGAATGAATGAGAGTAGGGGATATGCGCGTAAAGTCAAGCTTTAGCTGTTTGTTAGGATTTTGCAAAAGCAGATTAAGTATCCACGTACATTTTGGCCTGGAATGTAGTCCTTCTGACGGGATAATACAATTTTCCCTATATGGCGAACATTTTTATTTAATTTATCACAATAAAAATACCCACACACATACATCATGTGCCTGATATTAGCGAGCTTAAGGCCCCGTTTACACTACACTATACTGGATTGCATCGGAGCGTAGCGATTTTCATACCGGATTCGGCTACCGCTTACACGACGCCACAGTACTCCGGTGCGCGACGAGGAGCAAAAATCACTCCGCTTTGGATGTGATATGAAAAGTGATCAGGTACGTATACCGGTACTAAATCAGTTTTGGCGTGCCGTATGTTTTCACATTGTCGCCTTTAATTGCTCGCTTCTACAATACGTTATATAGCTGTTGTTTGTTTCGTCTTACAACCATTCATTAACCATTTCTGGCGAGGACAGATAAAGAAAACGATAATAACATTGACTTTTCGTTTTTAAAAGAGCAAAATTTAAAGAATTCTCGTCAATTTTGGATTAGAGGGAAACGAAGCAACGTTATACTTTACAAAGAAAACGTGTGTTACTTCATCTTGTTTTTAATAAATTTTATTATATTGGCAAAAAATGTTACTTGTTTCCATGGCGACAGTTCAAAACGTGGGCTGGCAACAGAGCGAAGCGGCATAGTGTAAACACCCTTGTTTTTTTACATCGGAGTGAAAATTAATCCGGTATGAAAAGTAATCCGGTATAGTGTAAACAGGGCCTAAGATGCACCAAATCTACGACGCGGACGTGACTAAAAAACAGTCGCTAATAATTGCATGAGACTAATTGTCCTATAACTTCGAACAGCTTATACTGTAGTTGATTTCAAAATACGAATTGAAGTTAGCGGTTAGAGTTCTGTCGTAAACGTCAATCTTAATTAAACTTCTAATAGCGACAATTTTTCACGTCCGCGTCGTAGATTTGGTGTATCTTAAGCTCCCTAATGAAATGAGCGAACTGAATGCTATACGAAATTCAGTGAAAATTATCAAAAACTTGTGATCACAGGCTAGATTCTAGTCGGATACGAAACAAACCCGTCAATAAAAATCTAACAAGCTCACAACCTCTTGCCCAGGGTCTTTCATCTTGGGGAGAAAATACCCTGGTAGATGCGCCTGGTCATGTGATCTGCTAAAATCTACTAGCAGGTTTCTAATAGACAGCTTGCATGTTAGACTGACTTTTGATCTAGGCAAAGAAAAAGGTAAATTTCCGTAAAGTACTTATTAAAATTAGTAAAATTACAAAATTAGGTTACGAAATGTTGTAAAATACGGAAATATATTGCGAAGTTTGCCTATGTTTGTATTGCATGCGTGCAGAAATTGTTACCATTTTTGAGCCGAAAATGGTAACAATTTCCTCACGTAATACAAACATATACCAAAATTTGCAAATTTTGCAAGGCTATATTTTCCAAACTTTACAACATTTCGCAACAAAAATTTGCAATTTTACTAATTTCATCATGTTCTTTTTAGCTTTAGTGTTTGATTCCCTTCTCTTACTTAAAATTTAGTCTAACATGCAAGTTGTCCATTAACTATCTTGGATTCCTTTACAAAATGCAAATTATATAAATTTAAACTATAAAAATCATACAAATATCAAATATTCATTGACCTCATGCATCTTGGATTGCTAATGAAAATACTGCTAGATTTTAGCAGATCACGTGACCAGCGTCTACCAGGGTCTTTTCGGTTATAGAGGAAAGACCATGGGTACGAGGCTGACAATAGCAGCACAATTAATTTTGATACTGTTCTATTAAAACCCACCAACAAAAATCGCCTAAAAATTACACCGTACAGTATATACGCCAGGATTTAATTAAATTTAATTGGCCCATTAAAATTACATGATGTCCACCTGCATGGCTCTATGTACTTTGGCGAAAAGAGTGTATCCAGCTGAAGAATGGATTGTTTGTTTATAGCACAAATTTTAAACCTCTCCCTGGTTTTGAACGAAAGTGTCAAAGTAACAACGAAAGTTCATGAGAAATGAAAAAAATAGTTTCTTAATTCGATCTCACCAGCAGAATTTTCACTCATTCACTGCATATGGAAAAGGGCAAGAAATGTGAACCAAAAGCATCAAGAGTAATTTCTCTTTCGAATAACGAGTAAATACTGTATAGTGAATAATAGTAATACATATTCATGTTCGTGTTATACAAATGCATCAATATGTACAAATGCACTGCTTTTGCCCGATAGTGTATATAAGCATCACGATCTCCGTCTTCACTCACCTTCCTTATTCACAGGAACGGTCTCGTATACACATTCTATTTTCTCTGAAGGATACTTCAAAGCTTGACATTGATAACCAGTAGCGGCTCCTACATACAAACATAAATATATAGTGGCATTCTTTGGCGACATTGCAGTTCAATTGAATATTTCAATTGATAACCAGTAGCGGCTCCTATACATATACAAACATATTAAATATATAGTGGCATTCTTTGGCGACATTGCAGTTCAATTGAATATTTCCACTCCTTTAAACAGGAGTGAATGGTAGGGTGCAATTCTGAAATTCTGCTTTTTAAATTACTATTTTCTGTACGAAATTGTCTGACTTGCTTGTATGGTTAGTATTAGATATAGTTTTTTTCAAGTAAATATTTCATGACCTGGCTTACTTATCGCGAACAGACAAACCAGATAGATTAAGTGCAGTGACTACGAACATGACATAACGTTTTACAATAATTATTAATAATTTACAATAATAATTATATATATATATATATATATATATATATATATATATATATATATATATATATATATATATATATATATATATATATATTAAACGGATTTTCTTACCAGTTTTGCTAGACGGTTCTAAAAATAAAAAATACAAATGATACAAATGAAATTTTGTTTTCATTTAAATAATTATAAAGCGAGCGGTGCATGCATTTACAGTTCTGTATATATTTGTTTCATTCAGTATAATAGTAATAAATGCACTCATTATATACTAATTATATTGAGAGACCAAATACCATTTGGACAAGTATATTATTTTGGGACAAGCATATACTGCAGTTGCATGATGTTTTATCATCTAGGAAAATTACATTTTTTTATTCGAAATTATCTGACTTGCTTTTTGTATATGGTCAGTATTAGAACGCATATATAGCTTTTTTCGAGTAAATATTTCGTGGCACACGAACGAGATGGATTAATTGTAACCACGAACATTGACATAAAGTTTTACAATAAGTTATGATTGAACATATATTAAACACATTTTCTTACCACTTTTGGGAGGCGGTTCTAAAAATAAAAATAGAAACGAAACAACAGAAATTTTGTTTTCATTTAAATAATTATAAAGTGAGCGGTGCCTGTATATTTACAGGTCTATATTAGCTATATTTGATTCATTCAGTATACTTGTAATATATGCACTCATATATACTAATTATATTGAGAGAGCAGTTATACCTTTTGGACAAGTATATACTTTGGGACAAGCATATACTTCAGATGCATCAGTTTTATCATCTAGGGAAAAGAAAAAAATAAGATTGACGTTGAACGCGTAGAATTAGAATTAAATTAAATTGATATAATTCAATGTATATATCTATAACTGTTTTCGATATCTTTACCAAAATGGTTAAACTCATTATTTCAAGACTAATACCGGGTGGCGCAAAAAAAAGTATAACTGTTTGATTACATATAGCTCAAAGACCATAAGCAGTAGAACCCAAAATCGAGTTTCATTGCATCCAGCGATGTCTAACTTAAATTTTGGTATATTCGACAGGCATTTTCGTCCAAGATTGACTGAGATATGAGTGTTTAAACTTTTGTTAGCAAATTTGAAACGGTCACAAATTAGCTAAAAACGGCCTATTAAACTGATTTTTAGCTAATTTGTGACTGTTTCAAAATTGTTAACAAAAGTTTAAACTCTTATATCTCAGTTAATCTTGGACGAATATGCCTGTCAAATATACCAAAATTTAAGTTAGATATCGCTGGATGCAATTAAACTCGATTTATGGTTCTACTGCTTATTGTTTCTGAGTTACAAGTAATCAAACAGTTGTACTTTTTTTTGCGCCACCCGGTATATTTTTGGACTAAATCTAATATTTTGCGTATAAAAATTCTAATATTAGCTCGTATTTTGCACAAGTTGACATGTAGAAGGCATAAAGATGTTCGGCTTTAGTTGGAATTTGTTTTCTCCATATTTTAGAGAAATTATTAATAACAAGTAAACGTGAGGTAACGATCTGTATACGAAGTATGTTTTTATTACCTGTAGCTCTACATCCATTCATGCAATTAGTAGCTAGAAAAGAAAAGTAATAATTGCTGTTATCTTTCTTGAGAAAATTCCAATAACTATAGTTTCTTGAAAGGTGCTAATTTAATGATTGGGCTAGCTTCCCCCCACGTTCGCACGCCGGACATGTAGTGACTAAAAAATTTTTGAAAACATATTTCTATATTTAACCGTCGTTGCTGTAAGGCGATGATTTTCCTTCGACTTGTTTCTTTTAGTGTAGGTATTATTGATTTGCGCTTCAACGACTCGCGTGCAGCAAAATAACTGAAAAGCAAAAGGCTGAAGTATTAAAGGTTTCTGGAGCTGTGAGCGCTTGTAAAATTATTCTGGGACCAAAGGTTTCGTGCGCTTGGGTGCCATTTTCGGTTTTCTAATCATCAAATATTTAATAACTTAACAAAGATTCCAATACCGGTATAAATAATTCACCGGAGAAAAATTAAAGAAAATAGTTTCTGTTTAGGTTTAATTTGTTCGGGAAAATTGGTAAAATGAAATACAAAATTATTACTCGAAAAATATTTTAATACATGCACTTACACTTTATACAGGTTTTGAAAACGCAATATAGCGTGAGGACACCATACAGAATAATAGAATCATAACATATCCAAAGGAAATGTATCGTTTTATATGTATCGAAATGTATCGTATTACAACAGTCGGGATAGTTTTTGCTATTTATTTGAAGTGAATGCATGTTGCTGAGTTTTAAATAAGTTTTAAATTGTCCACGTAAAATAATAGGGAATCCTATACTTTCAAGTTAAACAAAAAATGTTGCTTTTCTCTTGTTTTAAGGGGGGGGGGGGGCGTGCATGGCGGCGATATTTTCAATATTTAGTGGTTTTGAAACCGGATTTGCGGAATCATTGTTTTTGAAAAGCATTATTCACTAGCCTGCAACAATCAGTTTCAAATATCTTGGGAGAGATGCATGCAACATAAACTTTGCATTTCAACAAACGTCAATCCCCCGGCCCCAATTCAAAGCTGTGTGCCATTTCTCGTCAGATTTGATGTATTTTGGTTTAAGCAACATTGATTGGGTGGAGGGGAGGGGGAGAGAAGCGGTATCGTGTGCAAGAAACTGTAATGATCCACTTACAATCTAAAACTACATAATTATCTCCCAACAACTTTTGAAAGTAATTGTCTGGGCCCCGTACCCCAAAACATCATTGTACATCTCAAGATTATACAGGGGATAGAATGCTAGTATTTCAGCTCCACTTCATTTACAGAAGATCTCAATGACGGAGTCACTGTTAATTCGGGTACTCCGTAGGTGAAGAACGTTTACTTGATCACTTATAGTCAAAGTGATATTTTAAATCTTCCAAGAGCAGATATTGTAGGTATAATTGTCGACGCATGGCTTTCACGCTCCCGATGAAGGAGCAGTAAACTGTGAACGATATAGATTAAAGTTTGTTACTCTGTTATCCCGCGAAGGGAAACAAATCAAAAGAGCAAAGGTCTTCCCTGACCCGAGAAATGGGAAAGCGTTCCCAAAGTTAATTCAATATCTAATCAGAAGCGTCTGACAAGGTTTAACCAAGATCAGTTGACTTATGGTTGACCGTACCTGAAACGAGGAGGGATTCAGTAGCTGTAAAGGAATGCCTTGCTGTGAGTCCATAGTTATTACGAATTTACGAACGTAGTGGCTAGCCGAAGAGCGGAATAGAAAACGAGTAGTGGGTGAGAGCGATTAACACTTGCCTAATAACTGCCCAGTATTGTAGTTGTATGGTAATTAATTATATTTAGGAACTTTTATAAAATATAGGTTCTTTAGAATATAATTAAAAATGCAAAAAAATACTGTGTGTGTTAATTTTTACCGACTCCCACGTTGACGAAAGAGTGCTTCGTCACACATGAAGTCCTAACATTTTAACAATTAGGCTGGGACTTAGCTAGGGAGGCCGGCCGGCCCATTGAACCATAAACCAGCAGAATTTTGTATTCTATATAGGTCTCCTGCAACGGATTTCCTACATTTGAGTGACATTTTTGTCACAATAAAGCCAAGAAAATACAATCACTACATCATTAGTCAGCATATCATGGTATATATAAAGGAAAATAGATTATAGGTATGTGCATGCATGAAAATCGAATAGAAACATATTGGAAAAGTAGCGGTGTTTTAATATAGTAGAATAGTATTGCAAAATCCGATTAAAATAGTAAAGATTTGTTATATTTTCAAGGACTATCTTTTAGTCTTTCAAAACGTTTTAAGGAAGCTGGATCCTCGTCCCTCCAAAAGTGAAAGGAAGTGATCTCAGATCACCTCGCCAGCACTACATCACGGCAAACAGGAAATTAGCAAATATTTCTTTCTCTCCTCAGTGACCGCTGAGACCTGAAACCATATCTGTTCGCAAGGTAAGGCAAGGTACAAAAAGATCAATTTTTTGTGTAAATTACTGTAACATTGAAAATCGTAAAACAATGAAGGGAGCGGAACACAATTATAATCAATGCCTGCTCTATTTGTGACGTTTTTAGTATCGGTGGTGTAGTCTCTGATTATATCTATTTAGTCCATAATATTTTTTACCTTCTTGGGAGCATGCAGTATCACAACTTGGATCTATAAAGATATATAAAGAAAATGCTGAAAAGTTTTCTAACATCGATAAACCAAGCTCATTAATAGTTATTTATTGTATAGCATCAATGTCTGCAAGTCTGGGTAGTTTTTATGCTGATTATCGTGGTATATTCTTTCAATTTTCTCAACCGAAACAGTTCATATCTTTCAAATTGTTGATAACTATTAAATTTCAAATGTGTTTGTTAAATAAAACATTCCTATTCTCTTTCCAGTGTAGGATTACAATCACTATAGTTTTCGTTTCCCACCTTAATTGGCGATAAATGTATAATTGGAAGATCAAACTTTTCCGTATCCCGTACGAAGAATCGCGATAACCGGCGTCTTCATGCACCATGTAGTAGATTATTAATGGACTTTCTCTGTTGTGGTTTCAATTGAATTATGAAGCCTAAAGACTCGAAATTTCAGAAAGAGTTACCTCCAAAGCGTTAATAGCCATATTTTTATGAAAATAGATACGTAATGACTTCCGTAAACGAGATATTGGCCAATGGAAATTAAGCTGAATTTTTTTCGGTCAAAACAGATTTGTCACAGCCATTTGGGCAGGCGTTTCCTCGCTGCCGCCTTCTCTTCTCCCGCCCGCACTAAACGCTTGCTAGTAAGTCACTGACTCGTATTACACTCTAAAAATACTATAGGTAAAGTTTCCCTGGTTAACCTAGAAATATACAGTAATTGGTTAACTTGATATTCTTGGTTAAATTTCCTGGTTATTTAATCTCAAATCCTACCATAGTTTGTTAACGTTACTAGGAATCGGGTTATATTTTACCAGGACCACTAATTTTTAAATGAATCAGATTTGTCATAGATGGATAAAAAACGCGTGTAAAAAGCAACGATTTTACGTCACCGAGCGATAAGTAACTACTTCATCGTAAATCAACACAAATATTGAGATATCAATTTAATTGACGTCAAAACTGACATCTTAGATATTCAGTTTTATTGAATATTGTGTTGATCTTCCTGGAGTGATACCTATGTATTATATATGGTACTCTGGACGTACTGTAAATATAGGATGAGACAGTCATGTTATAGTCCATGGCCTACTTCCACCGATATTCAAATTCTATTGGATCAACTTAAGATATTGAGATTTCCGTAGGCTACATGGGATGAAGAAGAAACATGGAGAGTGGCGGACATGAGGATTAATGTTCGATTTTTCTAGTAAAGTCATCACAGGAATATTGACTGTATGTATTTCCAACTCACCTGGGCACTTCGCCTTCACTCCGTTGCATTGCTCGTAGTTCGCTAAAGAAAAAAAATACAATAAGACTTTCTGTAATTACAGAGAAACGAGGAAAGTAAAGCAATAAGACTTTCACGAAGAATGCAGAACGAAATGAACTTGTACATTCCATGCATATTAACTTCTGAATAAGTATATAATTTTGTAGATAACAAGACTAGCATCTCACATGATTAAATATTATAGTTGAAGGGTATTGTAGATATGGAGATTATCGAGTTTTATTATATAAACATAAGTGCATGTTATATAGACTTTTTGGCCACTGAGAAAAATCGTATTTAAACACACGTAAAAAATACGATATTTTTACGTGTGAAAATATCATTTGTTGTAAAACGCATTGTCACGGACGTTTTATTGTTTTTCACTGAATTTTGTTTATATAATAAACAGAAAAATACATGGGTGCTTGGAAATACCAGATTTATTTCTCGTTTTGAACATGATATCTCACTTGTTCGCTGCGCTCACTCGTGAGATATCATGTTCAACACTCGAAATAAATCTGGTATTTCCGCGCACCCATGTGTTATTCTCTATTTCTCAGCTGTTCCTGGTTAGGTCTAATAAATATATTTTTTAAAACTCATTAGTAATAATTCATGAGGAAAAGACAAAGGAAATCCACAGGGGGTCCAACTAACAGCTGTGTTATGAATAAAACATATTAATTAAACGTAATATGAATAAAACATCATAACGTAATATTGCACTTACTTGTATAAATCATAAGAGCTTGCATTTTAATGCAGTGAATAGCTTCAAAAACTTGCTTCGTTCCAAAGACTTCAAATATGGCGAATAAATTGACAAAACGATAATATTACATGACGTTCCAACGAAAATAACAGAAAGGATTGCGGGCGCGAGCGGAAGGCGAGGGTAATATATATTAATAGAAGGGATGAAACACCGGTAATGCGATCGTGTGATGTGTTCCATAAGTAGCCTGTTCTCTCGGAAAATTCCAAAACGCCTCCTGCCAACTCCAACACCGCCTACGCGCTTAATTAATGAAAATAAACAATGTTTAGCTATACCGGCTAATATGAAATGTTTAAATGTAGCGACCAACGTTTTTTTTTTACATTATTTAGTTTTATTATTATTTCGTCATACGTCACGAGAACAGGCTACTTATGGAACACATCTCGCGATAATGGCCAAGAAAGCTCGCTGTTATAAATCACATAAATTAGATTGATCAGTGCTTTTTTGGTAATGACTAGGCTTGTTCATGTAAGAGAACATCGACTGAGCCTTAAAAACCCCACAAAAAGCTTAAACGGATAGTCTAGAAGCATTTTAAAAAGTCACGTGATATTTGTTTCATCCCTTCTATTTATTTCTTCCCTCGCCTTTCCGCTCGCGCCCGCAATCCTTGCTGTTACTTTCGTTGGAACGTCATGTAATATTTTCGTTTTGTCAATTTATTCGCCATATTTGAACAATCGTTCGAATTAAAATGTTTCTGAGCGATTTTCTGAGCGTGTATAAGCGCCCTGTTAAAAGCTATTCACTGCAAATACAAGCTCTTATGATTTATACAAGTAAGTGCAATAATTTAAATATATTACGTT